ACACCCCATTGGCAAGATCCGACAGGCAAAATGGAACTTCCCCAGCAGAGACTGCAGTCAGTGCAGCTGGATTTTACGCCGCCCCAGGGCCCGGGACACCGCTAGGCGCAGGTCAGGAAAAACAGGACAGCGAGCAACCAATAGGGAGGCACATGTCCACAAAAAACTGGCCCTCAAAGGCACACCCCAAAAGATGATGGCACTCCGGATGCACCGGGAGCAGCCAGAAGGCAGATTCCACATCCGCTTTAGCCAGCAACGCCCCTGGGCCCGCCGCCCTCACCATGCGAACCGCTGCATCAAAGGATGCGTAGGAAACCCTGCAAAGTTCAGTGGAAATGTCATCATTCACCGAAACCCCTCGAGGGTACGACAAATGGTGAATCAAACGATACTTCCCGGGATCCTTCTTAGGCACCAAACCCATAGGAGAAACCCACAAATTAACCATCGGTGGGGCGGAGAACGGGCCAGCCATCCGACCCAAGGAGACTTCCTCATCCAATTTTTCCCGTACTACCTGAGGAAAAGCCTGCACAGACTTTAGGTTTCGTACGGAGAGCAGCGGAGGGCGCTCAGAGAAAGGGATCCAAAACCCCTGCTAAAACCCATCCACCAGGATCCGTGCTGCAGCCCAATTCCTATAAAGGTCGAGCCACGGGCACATCGCGTTTACGAGGACCGGTGTCGTCGCCCTTAGCCCCCATGTCCCCTTTCTCCCCCATTTTGCCCCGCTTGAAACAGCGGGAGGCAGGATGGGCCCCACCGCAGCCGGATCACTCGTGCTTAAACCGGCACGAGGACCCCCACTTACAGTGACTGTTGTTAAATTTCCAACAACAGCCAGACCTCTGACCAGAGGCCAATGAGGAGGACGACGTGCCCCCACCGGCCCACCTAAGAAAGGACGAAAACGCGCCCTGTTGACGGGCTGGACGAGTCATGATGGGAAAGCCAGAGGCCGATATCCATCTGATCCCACGACAGCGAGGGACGTACTGCCAGCCGCTGTCGAAACTGCTCGTCGTACCTCCACCAACCCAGCCCCCCATAGGTGTGACAAGCGTTCCAACTCGTGTCCTGATAACAGAACAGCGCGGAGCACTTCTGAGGAGACTTCTCCACCACCACGCTGGCCAAAATAGAGAACTCCCGAATCCAGTTCCCAAAGGTCTTGGGAATTTTGCGAAAACGGTACTTCTCCCAATCCTTTTCCGACTCCTTACTGTCCTTGTCCACCACGGGAGGAGCTTCCTCCAGCAGTAGGAGAGAAAATATCTCCACAAATTCCCCCTTCCAAATCTTCTCATTCGTCTCCTGCTTCAAGTGCAAGCCCAGAGGGCAAGACCAGCACATGTAAGCAGCACCACACGCTACGTACGAGACCCCCCCTTCAAGACATGCATCGCCTGAGACGGAACCAACACTGGCCACCGCGGGCGCCAGGGAACCCAGAGGCACCATACCGCCACCCGTCCCGGGTAGGGGCCCAGGAGGGGGAGAAGACTGAACATGAGGAGGGAAAAGGGCAGGGGACCAAGCTGACCGGAGTTGACCATCAATAGAATTGACCCCACTAACCGCCATCCCCCGCTCCCACTGATCCAAAAAAACCCGAAGACCTGAGAGGAACCCTCCCAGCCCGGGACCCGCAGGGCCAGAAGTGGAGGGAACAAAGTACTCACCAGTCGCAAACTGGCGATCCAAGCCCGGCACTGCACTCCCAGAAAGCTGAGGCAAAGAAACAGCAGTTCCAGCATCCACAGAAGACATCAGCTGTGTTCCAGGCGCCACCTGCTGGCCGGGTCCACGAACTGCAGCAGTGTCCTGAGAAGAGAGCAGCAGAGAAGATGAGAGCCCACGCCCCAGAGGAGATGGCCGAGGTAAGTGACCTGCAGGGGGGGAGGGTCCAGTCACGGCGGGGAGAACAGGGGAGGCAGACAGGGAGGGATAGAGACCAGAAGGGGGGAAGATAAAACAGAAGGGGGGAAAAAGGAGGGGACCAGAGGGGGGGAGGGGGAAAGAAGAAACCGGGCAAGAGGAGGGGGGACCAGGGGGCCCAGCCAAGGGTAAGCTGGGCCCCCTGGAAGAAAAAACAGAATGGAGAGGGGAAAGAGGGGGGACAGGGGAGACAGAGCCCTGGGAGCCTTCCTCACCGGCAGAGGAGGCTCCCGACGGGCAAGGGGACCCCCCGGACCCCAAACGGTGGTACCAAGGTACCACATGCGGCCCACGAGGGCCTACTTACCGCCCTCCCTTTCCTGCCGGCCGCGGGGGGACCTGGACAGTTGCCGGGCGGCCACCCGCCGCCTGGATAGCTATATCCGCCGCCCACCGCCCCTGGCATGCAATCCAGCGCTGGCGGCCAGGGCGGATGGAGCGGATGGAGATCCACGGGTAGGCCGTGCGGCGGTAGTAGGCCGCATCCCCGGCCTTGCAGTAACAGGCCGCGCGGCGGTAGTAGGCCGCATCCCCGGCCTGGTAGTACCAGGCCGTGCATAAATGGAGACGGCAGGCCGCGCGGAATGCCGCAAATCATGGCCACTGGTGGTAGGCCACCTGCCTTGAGCCCCAGACACGCGGTCCCGGCAGTGCCTCGGCCCGGGCTCCTGCTCCTCAACCGGGCCCAAGGAGTAGTGTCAGGAGAGAGCCTGGCAGGTGGGAACGGCCCCCAGGGGCGGGGACCGCATGGGAGGCAGCAGGGGAGACCAGAGGGGGTGCCCCAGGGGAAGGTAGGCCGCGGGGGGACCACACTGGTAGCTATACCTCCAGTAATGTTTGCAAATTGCTCCCTCAGTTGCCGGCCACCATCCAGCGCTGCAGCAGCCCTGAGGGATGCCAGGATCGCCTCAATATCCATCCCTCAAGCTGTGAAGACTACAGGCCCAGGCAAACAGAAGCAGGAGGACAGCAAGCTGTTTGCTGGCCCAAATCCCAAGTGGCACTGAGGTAAGACCTCCCCCCTACTAGCTCACATAGCCCTAACCCCACACACACACACACACACACACACTTCCCAAGACACTCCCACGCATCTATCCCCACACTCCTACATGTGCCCTTGTCTGCTTAGCTGCGCTATCTCCCCAGGGCCTGACCAGTTTATATATACCTCTAACTACCAGGGAGTCTACATGGCACACAATACATTCCCCACCCCGGTTTTTTTGCGTCTGACACATAACTGAATCACAACCAGATAATTTATTTTACTAAATTATTAAATTATTTATTAACCCCTGAACTGAGCCAAATATACACGTTGTGATCAAAACAAAACGTAAATGAAACCTGGAATTTGACTATATGTCTGTTCAACTGTAATTCGCCTCTTTCATATCTGTGTCTTTGGATGCCTCGTTACCTACAAATAGCAGCCCGTTTGATGGTTCTGGGACTGAATACTACTCTAATGAAGTTTCACCAGATCGCAGCATCCTGTGATCCGATGCATAGTTCCATGTTGTTTATGGTTGCTCCTAGTCAGGTGCTCTGTGCCTGAATGAGCCTCTTGCGAGTCGCTGGTGGTAGTTTGCTGACATATTTGGCTCCCAAATGTCTTACAGGGTAAAAGCACAAAGGAACAAATAGGAGGTTATAGTCCTTTTACGGAGGTGTTAGCTGGGAGTCCTGCCCCAGTTGTCACCCTGAACGGGGTGGACCGTCACAGACCTATATTGTGCAACCAATGTTTTCTAGGTCCCCAAAGCTCTGTCCCTCTGTTGCTACTGCGATAATGGCTGGCTGTGAGCTCATGGCAGAAGTTCAGTTAAACGTGGGTCATAACCAGGTAGTTGCCGTAAAAGGACCTTGTAATTAATTAGGGAATATAGTTTATGGATATAGTTTTTATGCTTTTTTCTTTTTTTTACCATCGGCTGTTCTTTTCTGCTGACTTATAGAGTTGAATTCCTGCCAAATTCCCTAATATTGTGAACTGATTACGGTTTTTCTTTTCCTTTTTTATTCTCTCTTTTTTTGTTTTTATTTTTAGTTTAAAATCAGTCTCCAGCAAAGTACCATTTTAATCTATAAACACCTTTTCCCACAAATGATAAAAACTGGAGGTGGTACACAATCTTCTGAACAATATGATTAAAAGACTCACTTTGTGTGTAATTTCACACACAATTTAACATACAATCAAAAGAAACTAGTTACTGGAACATTAAAAGAATTCAATGAAAACATCTTAGCACATCAAGGCAAAATGCTAATTTATTCAATTTTACTTAAACCATCATTTTTTTATGTACCTTGTTCAATGTAGAGCTGAAGCTTAAAGCTACATTATGTTGCTGTAGAAAAAAGTTCTCAAAGCATGATTTGAGTATTTAAAAATTACATTGCTTCAAAAGGGTTTCACCAGGTAGGTTGAGGCAGGGGAAACTGAGACATTTATTTATTTATTACTGGTATTTATAAAGAGCCAACAGATGGCACAGCGCTGTACAATAAGTGAAGGACGCACAATATACACAGACAAATACCAAAGGTAGAGAAGGCCCTGCCGGTAAGCTGAAATCTAGCCATTGAAGCTCTTTTATACAAAGTGCTTAGCTAGATTGCCTGTGAGCTTACAATCTAAAGACATGAGTGTGTTATTTGGGATTTACCCTTTGGCTTTTTGACAAAGTTAAGGATACCCATCTGTTTTTCATATTTTTGATATCACCATTTGGTGTGCAGTGGCCCAAGGGAGCATCAGAAGTGAGTTATACTTACCTGATTCTGTCTCCTGTGGGCATCACCATCTTTGATCATCAGCTCTGGTTGCTTCATCTGCCAGGAGTTCACATCAGTCATGTACTCTCGCACATGTAGATCTTCAGTATTGTCACCCGGCCAAATTTCCCACAAGGCGACGTCATTGGGGTGGCAGATAGGAGAAGGGCAGCACGGCCGGCAGGGAGATAAGATATCTTCCTCACCAGCCAGCCCATTCTCCTGCAGTTTCGCATACAATATTAGCAGTTAAATCGAAATACGGTAATAAGTCTCCCTCGTCTGCACTGTATTAGAGCGTTGCGTTACCACGGCAAGGCTCTTATACATTCCCCGGCAGTGGCTTTGAAGGTGCCTGCAGACATGCTTCATCTCTCGGTGGACAATCTAGGATCAGGATTCCCACCTCCTGGGCTCAAGGTAAACCTCAAGGAGGGGAGAATACATTTTAATTTTGTTCCTTTTTTTCTTAGACAAAAATGTTTTTACCCTATTACAGCCCCATCTCCCCACTACAAACCCTATCCCACACTATAGCTTCTATCCCCCACTATAGCGACAGGCCCCTACTACAACCTTAAACCTACTATATTTACTACCCCCATTACAGGTGCTATACCCCCAACTGCAACCACTATTCCCTTATTATAGCCACTATCCTTCCCACTACAACCCCTATCACTCGTTATAGCCTTTATACCCACATTACAGTCCCTATACCCCCACTATATACCATGTACTCCATTGCAGCCACCATCCTTCCCACTACACCTATTCTTCCAATTCAGCCCATGTCCCCCACTACAGCCAAATGTCCTAGGAACCCACGTTGCAGCTGCTCCCCCCACAATAGCCCTGATCCTTGCACTACAGCTACTATCTCCCCACTATTGCACTCATACCCTCAACATTAGTCCCTATTTCCCAATAAAGCCCAAATCACTCTACTATAGCCATTATCACCCCCACTGCAGCCCTATCTCCCCATTGTAGCCACTATATCCGCACTATAGCCCCTATTCCTCCACTACAGCCCTAAATACAACATAAGAAGCACAACCTCAAAAACACATAACAATACCAGAAGCAGTCTTCATACACATACACACACACACACTTCTTATCCAACCACCCAGCTAGTCACATTCACCATTCAATCATGCCCCAAACTAGGTGTAACTGTTGTGTATATAAACCAAGGACTGAAAGAAGAGCTAGCAGGGATGTGGAAAGTGAAGATAGTCCCAGCTGTGATAGCAGCACTCTGGTTGTGAGTCCCAAGTTTGGGGAGTAACTTCAACATATTCCATAATATTAAGTAGTAGATAGAGTGGAAATTTGGTTAATTCCTTGTAGAAGACTAGAAAAACGATGTGCACATAGGATTTTTTTTTTGTGAATTTGTTTAAGTTAACTAAACAGTTAGTCCATTATAAGAGAACTCTTCTGATAAGACATAATAAATAAGGTGGAAAATGTATGTTCTGTTTGTTAAACGGAGACAATGTTTCCTGTTACTGAGAGGATTCTAAATGTAATTGGCAAAATCTTGGGTTGATCTCAGCGCATATTGTCTCTAATCTAAATTCTGATTTTTTTTTAATTTAAAACACATTGATGGTGATCTTACCAAGAGAGAATAATGGAAAGAAAAGAGAACCTTCTGCCACAAGAACATTATAACAAAAAAATTTTTTATAATTATTATAACTAGTAAAAAATTAATAAATAGAAAATCTACCCAGCTCTTCTTTAAACCATTTTGCTTTTATCATCTACAAAGAAAGTAGTTTCAAACACACATCTGCAAAATAAAGCTTAATTTCAAATATCTGTGAGCTTCGCTAAGTGAAATCTGGTTAGTATACGCTTATCCACTAATCAAATCAACATGCACAACACATTATTATGTTAATCCATTAGCAGTCTACTTCTTCAGCTCTTAATAGATTCATTTTCTTATTTGTGAATATTACATTACACTTATTGCTGGTGATTTGCAAAATCTCTATTATGCCTTGTGAGGGATGGTTCGTAAAAGCACATTAGATGTTGATAATTATTCGAAGAATGCTCGATTTTCTTGGCTTTATGTTTACAGACGTTTTTTCTCGTTTTGTTTTCTCAACTTACAAGTTGTAAGTGAGAGATGGATTAAGACAAAAATGCAACCAACCAGGCTACGGCTGTGTTTTATTTAGTTTTTGCTATAGAATGTGATATGCCTTCTTATGTGTGAAGTACATTTACTAATTACAATGAATTTAATTAAAATATATTAGACACCTCAGATATGTTAACATTAATTTTCCCTGTTTTACTTTTTAATGTTTCACATATTATTCCTGTGTTCTCTGTGTCACTACCCGCTGGAATGCACACCATTCCATCCTCATTGTTAGTGAACTACAGAACTAGCGAACTAGAGAAAACCAACTTGTAGTTGCTGTGAAAGAGTGAGTCAGTCAACCAGTCTGAAGGAGTTGAGGTCAACAAGGCCAGCACTGCCACAAACCTTCTTAAAGGCGCCATAATTACTTCATCTCATTGAAGTGGCTATTGTATCTGGAGTCCCCTTGGCACTGTCCTTCCATTCAGCATTAAGCCATTTAAATTTTTTTTAAATCTTATTTATCTTTTTTATTAAACTATTTTTACAAATACAAAAATAAAAATTACAATATGTATCCACTTTACATCCCATTTGAGTATTATTTTACCTAGTCTACACTGAATAAGTCACAGAGCATATTTTTCTTATTTTACTCATTAGACACCACCAAAAAAAAATTAAATTAAATACTGTACATCCCTCCATCTTCCCCTCCCCTTTATCTACTCCTCCATTCTTTCTGCAATTTATTACTACATAGCTCCTAATTGAATATATATAACTGATTCATTTCTCTTATCTAATTTTTTATTGTAGCTAATCCACGGCATCCACCTTTTATTATGTTCTGAACATTTTCCTTTACTTAGGTATAGTAATTGTTACAGTTAATACAACTCATCCACTGCATTAACCCATTCAACAATGGAACACGTTTTTGTTTGTCTCCAATATTTTGAAATTAATATCTTGGCTGTATTAGTCAGCCTAATAGTGAGAAAACTCCTGTATGTCTTAACTGATTGTGGTATATTGTGAATCAATACTTGGGTATGGTTCATTTCCAATTCAAAGTCACCTAAAGATTTTATTATATTGACAATTTCCTCCCTAAAAGAAATTATAAGTGGACAAGACCACCAGGTATGTATATAGGTGCCAGTATTATAAAAACAATGCCAGCATCTGTCCAAACTATCATTTTATGTATATTCAATATATGTAGCATATATTGAACTCTATCCCACCTTGTCAAAACCTTAAACGAGTTCTCCTGTAATCTTGCTGATAAGGAACATTTATGAGCCAATAAGACAATCTTAGCCATTGTACAATAATGTTTACCTATTAATTTATATACTTTGGAAATCAAACCAGTCTGAGGGTTTTTTTAACCAACAAATTTCTTCTTCATTTTAAATGTTTTAATGCTAAGCAAAACTCCTCGGCAACCCATCCCCTCTGACATTTGCCTGAGCAGGTATGAAGCAGAATGGCTACAAGGAAGTATGCAATCTTTGTCTCAGCTACAACCTCCAAGGCGTAAACTGCTTAAAGATGGTTTATTCCATTGAATAAAATGGTTCTAGTGATTACAGTGTCCATTTAAGCATTGGCCTGGAGCACCAAACAATCATAAGCCCATGGGCTCACAGGGAAATAGAAAAATTGACAAGATAGATGAGTTGGAGAACTCTCTAGTTTAGCTCTTATTGTCAGAATCCTATCCTGACAAACAAGACTTTTTGTTCCGTTTATTCTGTTCCTTTAAAGCCAAGTTCCTGCACTGAATATGTTTGACCACCAGTGGCCTCCCTTGCCTCTAGTTCTGAAAACTTACCTTATAATCCTCACCTGGACTAATTGAGCAATCTACAAAAGGCTACACCCAACTCACTACAGGGCCTTTAGAATGAAGTTGATGCTCATCCTGAAACACTTTAGATCATGGCTCCTGTGAAACCAACCTGTGGACTTACCTTCTTTGCTTCAATCCTGCTTACTTCCAACCCTGCTTAATACCAGCCTGAACTACTCCTCCATCCTGCTTACTTCCAACCCTGCTCAATACCAGCCTGAACTACTCCTCCATCCTGCTTACTTCCAGCCCTGCTCAATACCAGCCTGAACCACACCTCAATCCTGCTCACTTCCAACCCTGCTCAATACCAGCCTGAACTACACCTCAATCCTGCTTACTTCCAACCCTGCTCAATACCAGCCTGAACTACTCCTCAATCCTGCTTACTTCCAACCCTGCTTAATACCAGCCCGAACTACTCCTCAATCCTGCTTACTTCCAACCCTGCTCAATACCAGCCCGAACTACTCCTCAATCCTGCTTACTTCCAACCCTGCTCAATACCAGCCTGAACTACTCCTCCATCCTGCTTACTTAAAAACCCTGCTCAATACCAGCCCAAACTACTTCTCCATCCTGCTTACTTCCAACCCTGCTCAATACCAGCCTGAACTACTCCTCAATCCTGCTTACTTCCAACCCTGCTTAATACCAGCCTGAACTACACCTCAATCCTGCTTACTTCCAACCCTGCTCAATACCAGCCTGAACTAAACCTCAATCCTGCTTACTTCCAACCCTGCTCAATACCATCCTGAACTACTCCTCAATACTGCTTACTTCCAATCCTGCTCAATACCAGCCCGAACTACTCCTCAATCCTGCTCACTTCCAGCCCTGCTCAATACAAGCCAGAACTACTCCTCAATCCTGCTTACTTCCAACCCTGCTCAATACCAGCCCCAACTACTCCTCCATCCTGCTTACTTCCAACCCTGCTCAATACCAGCCTGAACTACTCCTCCATCCTGCTTACTTCCAACCCTGCTCAATACCAGCCTGAACTATTCCTCCATCCTGCTTACTTCCAACCCTGCTCAATACCAGCCCACACTACGTCTCCATCCTGCTTACTTCCAACCTTGCTCAATACCAGCCCTGAACGACTCCTCAATCCTGCTTACTTCCAACTGTGCTCAATACCAGCCTGAAGTACACTTTATCTTGCCCACCTGATTTCTACCAGGCTGATCCATACAACTTGTCTGCTGCATACCTACCTGCATAACACCAATCTGGACTCTGTCTCAAAGTAATATTATATGCTGTTATTTTCCTGCTTGATCAATACTCCTTCTAATTGGTGGCTTATAAACTAAATTTATCCTTTTCCAGTAATCCTATAACCTATTTGTTCTGTTCTGTTTTAATTGTGCTTCTATTTTAACCTATATGTTTATCTATAAGTTTTCTTATTTTTTACTTTCATTCCTGTTTATAGTCTATTTAGGGCATATTGCCTAAGCCCTTTATTTCTGTTTTCTCTCTCTCTTTCCTATCATTTTTA